TGTAAATGGTTTTTCTATTGTGAGATAAGAACCACAGCAAACCCTTAAGCAGACAGGTGATGGCCCTCCCATTGTTTCAGTATGATAGTGTTAAGAGTGCTATTTTTGTCAGCAGAACATGGTCACTCTTGGGTCATTCAATAGCTTGGAGCTGATCCTGTTTTGCATGAGCAAAGAATGGCAGAAGGAAGTGGAGAAAAGAGATTGCAGAAGAGGCAAGGGAGGGGGGAGTAAGGAGTTTGCTGCAGGAGAGGCAAGAGGGAGGGGGGAGAGTTTCCAGCTTTATTCTATTATTTTTCTATCACAGATGCATTCCCCCTCCCATTTTGTTGTTGTTGTTACATTCTTCTAGGTGACATCTTTCCAGGCATTTGAAGGAATTTATTCTGCAGAGTAATACTTACGCAGTCGTGCAGCCATAATTCCAGGATCAGAAGGAAATGCAGACAGCAGTTTCTCCATTAGTGTCTATTAATTTTCTTATTCCTTTCCCATCTTTTTTTAATACTAGAAGTGATTGTTTAAGGAGGGAAAAGGGAATAGCTACCAAATGCTTTTTGACCTGCAATGCTATTGCCCTCCTTACAGAAAAAATAAAGGCCCTTCGGTATTGCCAGCATTTCCATTACCCACAAAGGAGGAAGGGACAAAGAAAAAATAGATATGGTGAACTCATAAAATGGGCATATCCAGAGAAAAATCCACATCTTTGTAAGTTGCATCCATTCCTTTTTATAAGCTGATTCATTCCACTGCCTTTCACTTTCTTATTCAGTCATGAAATGGTTAATTGTCAGTTGCCCTGCAAGGCTTTATTTTATCAGAAGAAATAGAATATGGCAAAATAATAGAATCATAGAGCTGTAGATGTGAAAAGCTGGCATGTAGGCACTGAGTCCAACAACTTGCTCACTGCAGGAATTCAAATTAAAGCATTCCGCCTGGTCTCTAACATGCTGTAATTTTCCCCCTTATTTTGCTATAGACTGCAATGGCCAATAGATGGTGTTATTGCTATATTTAAGTATTTTAATGAGCAACAGCTTGAAGTGTTGTTTGAAATTACAGGATGTGTGCTCAGGGAAGCCACAGCTAAAGCAATAAGTATTTTCTGGCCACATATAGGCACAATGCTACCATAAAGTTGAAAACAGTATTATAGAACTAGCTTTGTTTACAGCATTTACGTTTCAAAAGAGAGCTGTGTTTTTATTGCAGCAAAAGCAGTAAAGATATGACATTTGAAAAGTGAACAAACATATTAAGATAAACTTTTGTAGGCTGAAGTCTATTTCTTCAGATGGATGAAGTGTTTCACTAAAATTGCACATAGGTCTTCCATGAAATAAGAACTTTGGGAGCAAAACGATGGTAGATCTAGATAAATATCAAAGTTAAGAGACATCATACAAACAGTGACTTTATATACTGTGAAGGCCATGGTTTTCCCAGCTGAAATATATGGCTATGTAAGCTGGCCCGTCAGAAAGGCTGGTGAGGAAAAATGAATATTTTATTGGAGAAAATGGTTGAGAATACCTTGGAATAAATAATGTAACAGCAGATGAAATAAAACCAGACTGCTCACTGGAAGCATGAAAAATGAAACTAGAGGTTAGCTATTTGGAACACATAATGCCAAGGCAAGAGTCATTGGAGAAGACTTGGGTGCTTGGAAAAATGGAGAGCAACTGAAAAAGGGGCCAACAGATGTGGCTAGATACAATCACTGATGACACCCACATGAGTTTACAAGAACTCAAAGCAGCAGTTACTGACAGAGAATCCTAGTGAACTGGTATGCATTAGTATGAACCAGAAGCAAGTTAACTTCTGAACAACAAAAACCTAGAGGACCATGTGATGGCAGTAAAGGGTTTTCTGGATTTCTTTGCTGCTATCTAGTGATCCAGATTTTTGCAGCCAGATCTGGTAGCCTTATTTACAAGAATATATACATATTTTATTGGTGTCACTCATGCTTCTACAACTGAGGCATATAGGTTTTGGTGACCCAATCATGATCATCTCCATGGGAACTTCCTCCTTGTCCTTATCAACAGTTCAGCAGTTATACTATCAAAGAAGATTATGTATTATATTTTAAGATAGTTATTTATGAAATAATGAAGTTCTAGTAATCCTACCAATAAGGAATAATATTCACATTTGTATCCACTGATATTTAATGCCAGAACCTGCAGAATCCTAATACATATATCAACAAAAATATTATACCCTGTCTAGAACTAAATGACGATTCCAATAGCCATTTAGTAGCAACTCTTAGACCTTGACGGTCTTAAGGCATTAGAGTCTGAGTCCTACCATCACAAGTAACAGCTAACAGAACTCACAGTGAATCACACAGCCCCTGCAAACTCATCATCCAGAGCAGAACTAGAAGTGGCTGTAGAGGGTTTCTTTTAAAAGGATGAATATTATATAAATGCCAATTCTATGTCCTGAACATAAGCCGTTTTTTAAACTGCTCCCCTCCCCCCACTTCCTTGCTAAAGAATTCGGTGATCTTGAGTTTGCTTAATAAATTAAGCTTGAACATTTTAATAGTTTAAAAAGGTAACCTAAGCTCAGTGATGTTCTTTCTGTCAATAACCTCTTCTCTTCTCTTCTTCTCTTCTCTTCTCTTCTTCTCTTCTCTTCTCTTCTTCTCTTCTCTTCTCTTCTTCTCTTCTCTTCTCTTCTTCTCTTCTCTTCTCTTCTTCTCTTCTCTTCTCTTCTTCTCTTCTCTTCTCTTCTTCTCTTCTCTTCTCTTCTTCTCTTCTCTTCTCTTCTTCTCTTCTCTTCTCTTCTTCTCTTCTCTTCTCTTCTTCTCTTCTCTTCTCTTCTTCTCTTCTCTTCTCTTCTTCTCTTCTCTTCTCTTCTTCTCTTCTCTTCTCCTCCTCCCTTTCCCTTTCCCCCTCCTTCTCTCTTTCCTTTCCCTTTCCCTTTCTTGTGAAATTAACTTCTTCAACTGTTTCTTTGCAGCTAGTCTAGACTCCACTGACTTGCATGGCTCTGGAGAAACTGCAACCTTTTAGCCAATTATACAGCCAATCTTGGACTTCAGCCTAGCAGGCTATTATGAAAAATTTCAATGCAGGGATGCCAGATCTCATGAGTACTTCTGGCCCTCTCCACAGAGAAAATGATTTAGAAATGCTGTTTGTTGCTCTAACTGGGACAATGATTCATTCTCCCAGCAGGGCTGGAACTTGCTTTTACATGTTTCACAAGAGTGGGTGGTTTTCTAATGACATAATTGCATACAATGCACCTCCCTTCTAGAAGATTTCTCCTCAAGCTAGTAAGCAAAGGAGCAAGTAGTACAACTCTGGCTGGTCTAATGGCACTTCATCTCAGTCAGCTCTTTCTCCTAGCAGCAGATTTAACTTTTGCTTCAGCCCTTTCCTGCATCATTTATGGGCTAGCCTGCCTTTGCCTTGCAAGCCTCATCAGCTTTGTCATCTTCTTATCCTCCTTTGAAGTCATTCAGAAAATGAAGAGGAACACTGGCCAGAAGGGGAAAGCAAACATGACCTCAGTTTCTAAGGGTGTGATTGGAGGGAAGCTTGTGAGATCATAGACAAGACAAGGCTCAGGGTGCTGGCAATGTACCATTCCCTGGGAAAAGAATGCGACCCTCTCCTGAAGAAGGAACGGTCTTCTAACACCAAGGTGGAACAACTTCCCGTGGCTGAGGAGAAATATCAGAAGATGGCCCAGAATCTGATTGAGAGCAGCCTCCTCTGAAAGGTATTTCTTAGAGCAGCTTCAGCTATTTGCGGCCCAAGATCTGTTTGCCCCCATGGACTGTTTTGAGACAGCTTTAGTTGTAGCTGCATTGTGCCTTGGCTTCTCCAGTTCCCATTATCCTTGTGAGATTCTTTACCTCTCCCCCCCCCTTTTTTTTTTGGTACATGCAACCTGAATGCAACAGATCCGCTTTTAGCAGATTTCAGATGCAATGGACCAAATTTCTGTCCAGATATCGCCTCAAAATAATGAACAAGACATTTGAAGTAGTCTGGACAATGCCACTAAATTTACCTTAATTTTATTCTAATGTTATGACATCTGTGGTGATTCACGTCGTTACCATCTATGTAAGTCATTATGCAAATTACCTAAGTTGATATAAATAATACACTTTTGTATTTAATGTACAACTGAGAATAATGGACACCCAAATCCGTCCATTAAACTGAAGTCTTATTGTACAATTAAAATTAAAATTATTGTACAAATAAAACTGAAGTTTTATTGTATTATATTTCCATGGATGTTATCTTACAGGCATTAAGTATGCTACTATATTTTAAAGGCTCTATTTTATCTATGTTACTTACTTCATAATAATGGCTGCATACTACCCTATATGAAATATTACAAGATGCAATTCCTCTCCTCCCTGATTATATATTAATTTATAATTTATTTTATACTATATTATTTATTTATTTATCATTAATTGTTAATAATAACATAATAATTTATTACATACTATGTTAATGGTTGCATTTTATTTGATTATGTGTCATCAAGTTGGTGTCAACTCCTAGCAACCACATAGATTTTCTCCATGACAATCTGTCTTCAGCCTGGTCCTTCAGGTCTTCCAAAAGTGCATTCCTTGCTGCTGGTTGTCCTCTTCTCTTTTCCTTCATCTTTCCCAACATTAGGACCTTCTCCAGAGAGCTGGGTCTTCACATAATGTGTCCAAAGTAGGATAATTTGAATCTGGTCCTTTGTACCCTGAATAAGAACTCTGGGTTGATTTGTTCAGTGATCCATTTGTTTGTTTTCTTGGCTGTCCACAGTATTCTCAGGAGTCTTCCCCAACACTTTCCACATGAGGAAAGGAAAAAGAGAGATGTGGAGAAAGTAGGGCTAGTTCTTTGATGTTCAATCTGTGTCACTCCTCAAGATTTGTAAATAAGCTCTGCAAATGCCCTCCTTCTCTTCACTTTCCTGGGCCCATACATGCCACATCCTAATTTATTTATTTATTATTTATTTATTTATTAAATCAATTTATATAGCTTTATATATTATAATATATAATTCCAGGCACTTCCAGTGATGATTCATGGCAAACTAGACATCCTTGGAGTGGGGACAGCACCGTAGCAGAAATTGGCGGCCAGATTGTGTATTCTGGTCGGCGAAGTCTCTCTGGAAAAAGGAGAGATGATGAGATCACCCACATGTACTCTGGACAGTGGCTCCTTGTGAGTAGACTGCAGGAACTGAGGTTTTTGTGGTCGACTTGTGAGTTGAGCAGCTGGGAGTTGAGGGATTTCAACGAAGCTCACAGCCATGATGTAGCCTAAATGGACACAAGATTCACCAAGCCTCATTTCTTAATCACTTTTGGAATTACTTTTTAATTGCTTTTCAACTATTAGGAACCTTTGGAGTGACAAATTTTATAGCACTCACTGGGTGAGTTTCCTTCACTCCTTAGCAAAAGAAGTTTTAAATACAAGTTTAAGGACTTTAAAAAATTCTTTTTTGGAATAAACACCAAAAGGGTGATTAGAATGTTGATTTTGGAAAATTATAAGTGGACTAAGAGTCCAGATGGATTTGAAATAAGAATTTGAAATTAATTATAAGAATCCTTCCCATGGGAAACTGTTGTTGTTTTGAATTCTAACAAAAAACAAAAACTTGATAGGATGAGACTTTGAAGGTTGGACACTAGAGGGAACCAGAAGGAACTAAAGATTACAATTTAAGTGGTCTTCTCTTTGACTTACTAATTTGATTTACTATTACTAACTACAAACTTGATAGGATGAGACTTTGAAGGTTGGACACTAGAGGGAACCAGAAGGAACTAAAGATTACAATTTAAGTGGTCTTCTCTTTGACTTACTAATTTGATTTACTATTACTAACTACAGCAAAATATCTTAACATTAGATGTACTGTATTGAAGGATATTTATGAACAATCGACTCAGAAGTTAATTTTAAGAATGTCTGCCTTTATAGATAAACTATAAAAGATAAAAGATGTTATGGAAGAGGAACAAGTTTTACTGGACAAGACTGAGACTGATTTGAAAGTGGATTTAAAAATGACAAGCAACAAGAATGATGTGGGAAAAGATGCTACACTGGATATGCAAATAAAACCAGCTGAAGTCTTAATAATTAAAAGGGATATACAAATAACAAACTAGAAGAGTGGCTTGGATAACTTTCCTATATTAGATTTACATAAGAGATCTATTAAAGTTTTGAAGGATTTTTTGAGAAGGGAAAAGAAAAAATGAAAGAAATCAAGTTCTAGGACATTATTTGAAAGGATTAACGATTGTTAAAAGTAAAGGGAAGGAATATAAAGTTGGTTTATTTTGATCAAGGTTAAAATAGATATGTTGTTATCTCTGGTCATCCTTAATGGACTTTTGCTGACCAGGACTGAACAACGAGGCTTTAAGGATTTGTTTATAGATAAAGAGATGAGATATGGGATGAAGAGATCATTTGTATTTAAAAGAAGGTGATAAGTTACTAAAATTGTTTATACTTGGGATGAAGGGGGAAGTCATTTATTTCTATATTCCTTTTCTTTTTCTTTAGTATAGTCTTATTTTTTTCCTTTTCTATTTTTCCATTTTTTCTTTTCTGCACTTTCTATTTTTTATTCTTTTATTTTTTTTAGTTTACATTCCTTTTCATCCTTTTAATTGTAATGTTTAATAAAATTATTATTAAAAAGATGCCACATTCTAATTCCAATCCTGGAAGTAATACATATCATCCTTTCTTTCATCCTTTCATAGGGAGAAGGGAGTGTGTAAGTGGGTCAGCTGGTTATGCCACTGCTGGCATTTTGGGAAACAAAAAGAAGCCTGGGAAGA